TGTTCTTGAGCATCTGAGCAACCTTTGCCCATATGGAAAAGTGATAAAGGAGAATCCCTTACAGACTCTCTGGCAGCCTTGGCTTTTGTAGCCAGTGTAATGTAAAGAAGCAGCAGATGTGACTCCACACCCTAGACTGATGTTTCTTTTATCATAACCTATTTTGCATCACATCTGCAGACCTTTCCTGCATTAATTTTCTTCTTCTGGCTCTAATGTTCTCTTCTTAAATGGGATGCAGCCCCTCTTGCGCCTCCTTACCCACTAACCACCTTTGCAGGTGTCACCCAGGTCTTTTGCTCTGGCTTCTTTTTTCTGTGCTAGCCACATGGCTCTGTGCAGACCCTACTGAGTCTACAGTCACCTGAGATATCCATCAGTGGCAGCTGCTGAGAGGTCTGTCCTTTCTTCATGCTAAGGGGCTGTTGTGGTTTAACCCCAGATGGCAACTAAGCCCCACGCATCCTCTCACTCACCACTCCCCCAGTGGAATGGGGGAGAGAATCGGAAGAGTATAAGCAAGAAAACCTGTGGGTTGAGATAAACACAGTTTAATAGATAAAGTAAAAACTGTTCATTCAAGCAAAGCAAAGCAAGGAGTTAATTCCCCACTCCCCACGAGCAGGCAGGTGCTCAGCCATCCCCAGGACAGGCGGGCTCCAACACGCGTAACGGTGACTTGGGAAGACAAATGCCATCACTGTGAACATTGCCCCCTTCCTTCTTCTTCCCCCAGTTTTATCTGCTCAGCATGACGTCATATGGTATGGAATATCCCTTGGGTTGGTTGGGGTCAGCTGTCCCGGCTGTGTTCCCCCCTCCCAACTCCTTGTGCACCCCCAGCCCACTCGCTGGTGGGGTGAGGAGCGGAAGAGGCCTTGGCTTTGGGTAAGCGCTGCTCAGCAATAATGAAAATATCCCTGTGTTATCCACACTGCTTTCAGCTATAAATCCAAAATATAGCCCCATACCAGCTACTGTGAAGGAAATCAACTCTACCCCAGCCAAAACCAGCACAGGGGCACATAGCAACCCGTTACTCCATTTGCTGCTGGGGTCTTTAGAGCATCTTCTAGAAAGCGTGCCAGCTGCAGAGGACTGGGCTTAGCCTATGGCCTGGATGAAAGGTGGAGTACATCTCGCTAATGGCCATTGAAGAGGTTAGAACTGAAGCATCAAGAGCCTGAGCCATTCTCCTCTGTGTGAACAATGCAGAGGGAGAGCAAGAGCTAGCAGGAGCTGCTTTACAGGATCTCTACCAAGACAGGCTTTTCTTGGGTGATCTTTGAGTGGCTGACAGGCTGGTATCAGGGCTGCTCTGTAACAAAAGCACAACGCAAAGCAAAGCTAAATGTAGAGGTAAATCTGGGCCAGTGCTGCTTTCAAGACAAACCCTAAGCTGTCCAGGCTTTTGGACCTGATGTTCTCGCTGAAGATAAAACAAACAGCAGCTACGAGGTTAGAGAGTCACTCAACATTTGTTCAAAGGGAGCATGGCAGCTGTGGTGCTTTTGTATCAGTGAGACGGCTGTGTTTTATAAAATGAATTGCAGGCCTGTCCTTTTCTTTTTGTTCTGTATTCCACATCCATTTTACTATCGTTTGATTCATTTTAGAGTCAGCCTGTGTCATTCGTAGTGCCACCAAAGAGGTGCTGTCCGAGCTCTTAGCATAATCTTTATTTACCTCTGAGTCAAAGTCTTCTACATCTCTGCTTGTTCAGAAGTTTGAATTCAGACTTCAGGGTAAAACTAAATGTAATCACTGTACTAAATTAAATAAGAGAAGCAGTATTTGTCACTGGCACTCATGGCTGTTACGTGGTGAAACTAAACAGATTTGCAGAATAAATCAAATATATCTACAATATCACTTTATTCTAAATATAATATTTTCTAAAAAAAAGGTTTCCATTTAATATGCACTTCATTGTAATTGGTTTCTGAAAAGCTGTCAGCATGAAGTGAAATAATGTCATACTAATATGTTTGTTAATACCATTGATTTTATTAGATGTAGAAAAGATCAAAATTCAGCTGTTAATATGCTAAGTAGCTTATGAGACTTACCAACACTGTGGCTTATTACAAATTATTATTTACAAACATGGTTGTGATTTTTTCCATGTAAGAAGATTTAATAATATTGATGTGAACTCAAGAAATAGAAGAGACTCTTTCTATGTATAAAATATATTTGTACCTTGTTGCAGCCAGAATTTCTCTCCCCTGCACCCCCCAGTTCTGATGCAGGTAAGGTGAACAGAGAAACAATGTGTTGCCCAAAAGTGCTGGGAGGAAGGCAGCCATATGTCTTGAGAGATCTTACTTTCTCTCCCACTTTCACTTTAAGAGATCTCAATTTCTGTCTGTCCGTCAAGTTACTGGAGACCAATTATTAACAAAATTTAGATGTGGTTTTCCTGAAATTTTTGCAAAATTTACAAATGAGAACTTTCAGTAGAAAGATACATCAGGATCTAATTTTTAAGAACATTTTTATTGGCTCTACTTTTCCGAGTTAGAGAGGAGCTCTTGTTAGAGGTATGTTTAAAATACTTAGCAAGCAGCTGTGAGCTTACTCCATTCGCCCTTTGGTGCACTCCAGGTAGCTATGATAAGCACAGTACAGTACATAAAACAACAAATCCTGCCAACAGGCAGTGTGGATTTTGCACTAACCTGCTGTACCTGTGCAGTTCTTTGGCAGCCATGAGAATGACAGAGTGGGTTGATGTGTGCCTGTAAAATAACACATGAATGTGGAAACTCCTAGACCCCCCGAAAGGTCTGAGATCTGGAAAAGAACAGACTAGATTATGGCTAAATAATTACTCATTTCAGTAAAGATATGCCATAATTCTCTTCTTTTATTTCATAGAGAAAACTAATGACATTTAATTGAGTCTTTACAAAATGCAACAGCTTTTATGATGGATAAGTCCTGTTTATTTCTGTTTAGAGATTCAGAACATTGTTTTATAGAATAATGATCTTCTGTTTTGGCAGAAACCCATATACACATAGGCATATGAGAAATTTTTGTTCTAATTTTTAAAGACTATCAATGTCACGTAAGTTTCTTTGGGGAATTTTTTAATTGTTACATTTTTTAAAAAATGGCTTTTCATGAAGTATTCACAAAAATATTTGGCATTGAACTATTGAAATTGCTCAGATGATAGCATAAAAATGGAATTGAATTGCAAAGGGTGGGAATTTCCAGAGTGATTGGAAGCATGAGACCTGACACTACAAGTGAAATTTCTGAGATTTTTTGGAATAATGCTAAGAATTTCTCTTTCAGAAATTCAGAAAATGCCATATACTTAGCACCCCAGGCCTTTATTGAGGTCTTTCCTTCATAAGGAAAAGGTTTCTCACAGAGAGAGAGGAGGTGCTCTGTCCTTTAATAATGATGGTGCAGGGAGGGAGTTCAGGTTGCTACTCTTTCTGTCTGTCATTGGAATTGCTGCTGAACAGGTAATAATGAACAGTGGATACTTTTTTTTTTTTTTTTTTTTCCTGGATTAGTCCTTCCATTTAGCCACCTATCTCAAATTCCTTATTAATATCATAGTCAAGTTCATAATTGGTGGGTTGGACCAATTTCTGTTTGTAGATATGCTTATGTGACACCTGCTTGCAGTGTTGGAAATGTGTGATAGTGTCCAAATACAGTCTGTCGTTTGTTTCTCATATCATGATAGGTCTAATCTTTTTTTTTTCATGGATGCACTGCTAAGATTTTTTTAAGGTAATGTAAATATTTTAAGAGATCTGGTGAAAATTACTGCCTTGTAAATTGCAAGCAGTTACCTTTTTGCTTTGCTTCTGCTTTTTGGTGTCTTGCATTATTCATCCAGTCCAACTTTAGCTTTGTCTGCTTGTTAAACCATCCCCAGCTTTGACATGGAGCATTTTCCTCTGCAAAAGACTGTCAGTCTTTCTTTATCTCTGAGCCTAGTAAGGCCACCAAGGAGAACATAATTTTTTCATATCTAGTACCTTAATTATGCTCTATAATATTATCTAGTATTCATTGTAATATTCATTAAGCTCAGAAACCATTTTTGAGTCTGATTATAAGATGCCTTGTAAAATAAAATACAGTTATCCTGAACTCTGTTGTTTCATTTGTTACTCTTGCTCATAAGAAACTATCAAACATGTCTGTCTCTTTTTAAACCCATGCTGGTTAATGTTTCTCATGTAATAGACAACCAGGTATGAAAATAAGTCTAAAATGAAAAAATTTCCTCATAAAATGATGAATCTTTGAATTGATGAACTTGAAATTTATGAAGATTTCTTATCTGGTAAACTAAACTGAGCTACTTGGTTTGTAGTCCATGAGGAACCAAGAAGGGGAAAAAAAAGATGTAGAGATGCATAAAAGAGGATCAGCCTTACTAGGAAAGGCAAAAATGATTCTGTAGTTGAGACTCAGGTGATCTGAATAGGCTTAATAAAAGCTTCTTTAAATGATAAAATAAATATGTATTAATATATACTGAAATCTATAAGGAAAGATCTCTTAAAGGGGATACATAGAATGATCTGTATTCATAGTCATTGTGTGTCATAGGAGTTTTTAAAAGAACTAGTAGCTAAAGTGCCAAAATTATCTAAAATGCATGCGTTGCTGCAGACCAGTCCAGAGAGAAATCATCTATTAAGACTTCTGAATATTTTAATCTTTAATCCTGATATATCACCACTGAGAGCACTGGTTTACTGCTACTGTTTGTATCACTGATGGAAGATTTATTACCTGTATTTACAGTGATAAAAGACACTTGGAAATTTTTAAGATGTCATGTGAATCTCAAAACTGCTACTGTGTCATAATGATTAAGATATAGTCGCTTTTTAAAAGTAACGAATATTCTGATTATCAAGACATATCTAGACATTAACAAAGTGCTATTTTTATTTGCAGACACAACCTTTGCTTGCCTCAATATTTCTGCTTTTTTTTCTTTTTTTTTTTTTCCCCAGGGCACAATATAGAACTATGATAGCAACTGGAGGAGTCATAACAGGACTGGCTGCCTTAAAAAGGCAAGACTCTGCCAGATCTCAACAACATGTAAATCTTGCCACAGCACCAGCTTCTGAAGAGAAGAAACCAGTTAGACGTCGGCCCAGGGCAGATGTAGTAATCGTCAGGGGCAAAATCCGTCTCTATTCTCCGTCGGGATTCTTCCTTGTTTTGGGAGTGCTTATTGCATTCTTTGGAATTGCAATGGCCATTCTTGGGTACTGGCCCCAAAAGGAACAGCTTTTAGGATCTGAAGATAATCTATCTGTAAATGAAACCCAAGTCCTGAGAAGCCAAGGAAGCATTTTACTTCGTTTCTTTGAACAGCATGTGCACTCGGATAAGATGAAAATGCTGGGCCCTTTTACTATGGGCATTGGAATCTTCATTTTTATTTGCGCAAATGCCATTCTGCATGAAAACCGTGACAAGGAAACAAAAATCATACACATGAGAGACATATACTCCACTGTAATAGATATCCACACCCTGCGGATCAAGGAACAAAAGCAGCTGAGTGGTGCCTTCACTGGCTTGTTGGGGGAAGGAGAGCTGAGGCACAGCGGGAGCTCGTGTGCATCACGGCTGGCTGCAAACACAGTTGCACCTTTCTCTGGCATCAAGAGTAATTTCAGAATGGATAGTTCTGCTGAAGAAGATGAGACTACCCTAAATGAAGATAGGACCACGGGTAGCCTCCTGCCACCTCTGCTGACTGAGCAAACTGGTTCAGTCTTTGGACTTTACCCTCACTCCAGCAAGGCTTCAGGTGACAAAAACACTAGCTCTATAAAGTGTGAAACAAAATCCATTGTATCATCTTCCATTAGCGCGTTCACACTGCCAGTAATTAAACTGAATAACTGTGTTATTGATGAGCCCAGTATAGACAACATAACTGAGGACTCGGAGATCACTAGGAGTCGGTCTAGAAATCTGTCAATGGATTCTCTGGCCATTCCCCTGACTGATACCAATGAATCCTACAGACCAGCTGCTACCATGCTGCCACGACACAATTCATTTGTGGACACTCCATCTGATCAGTTCAAATCTTCTATGACTCTCGGACCAAGCACAGGAAAACTTTTATCCCCTGGCGCTGCCAGGAGACAGTTTGGGTCCAACACATCTTTGCATCTTCTGTCTTCACATTCGAAGTCCCTGGACTTGGACAGGGGTCCGTCTACGCTCACTGTCCAGGCTGAACAAAGGAAACACCCCAGCTGGCCCAGACTGGATCGGAGCAACAGCAAAGGATATATGAAACTAGAAAACAAAGAGGACCCCATGGATAGGTTACTTGTGCCACAAGCAGCAGTCAAGAAAGACTTTACTAATAAAGAAAAGCTTCTTATGATATCAAGATCTCATAATAATTTGAGTTTTGAACATGATGAGTTTTTGAGTAACAACCTAAAGCGAGGAACATCTGAAACAAGATTTTAATATTTAAATTGCAATTTAGAAGATGTCATACAGTATTTTTTAAAAAAACATTTTGACAGGTGTTTCCTTTTCAGTGAGACTAGTACAAGCCTGTTTTTAACTAAATGCTTAATAGCCCATTAAAATTGGCTTGTGTGAACAGAGATCTTCATCTTTGTAATGCCAGAAATTTTTTGTGTTAGTAACATACAGCTGCAATACTGTACATTATCATTGCTCAGAGAGTTTTGGTACGATTGATTCCAATTTTCCCCAACTCATTATTCTTTTGTTCTGTATAAGCATGTTACTTTTTATCAATTTAACTCCAGAAGCCTGCATCAGGAAAAAAGCTCCATTTACCTGTATGTTCTATTTATTTAATGACTGCAGGAGTCTAAAAATGGTGCTTGCGTTCAAGAATGGGAAGTGAGCAGGAGCATATACTGGAATTGTCAAATCCAGGCCTTTATCCTAGGTGTTGTCTTTCACATCTTGGTAACTGCAATCTTGCCATTGTCATTGTGAGAAACTTGTTTACATGTTGGGGTGGGTGGATAGAAAAGAGTAGGTATAATTAAAACCATTTTTGTGAATTCATTGTAATTGGTCGAGGTGAATACCAGTGTTGTGAATTATTAACTATGCTTTGTACAATAATCTTTCAACATCCATTGTAATTTAATCCTGTAATTCTGAGAAAGCATATATAAAGTAAGAAATCTGAAAATTCTTCTGGGATTAGTTCTCTAAACCACTTTGATTGGCAGCAGTTTTAAAATCAAAATACACAGATTCAATTAAAATCATAGGAACATGATGAATGCCAACGGGATTTTAGAAACATGGTGTATCATAAAATGATATTGTGACATGCATCTGAAGAGAATAATGGAAAATGAATATATTGCCTCTCATTACAATAGCAAGAAGGTAAATAACTAGATCTCTATGTTCAAAATACTGATACAAAGCATAAAATTCAATATGTATACTAACATAGTTTGAAAGCCCCTTGCCTAAATTTTGATTTATATGTTTCACATAATTATTGGTGTGGTGGTTCACAGGAGGCTTAGCCGTGGCAATTTGCATTACAAGATTCTGCAAAAGGAAGTGACATTTAAAACAATGTTTTTCTCAGCAGAGTGAGCTTCACAGTTGACAGTTGTAGGCTATTGCTAAAGAAAATGAGGATTTGAATGTGCACACCAGAAGGTTTTCATGTATTTCATTAAGGTATTTAGGCCGTGATCCTGCCATGACAGCCATCCTAGAGAATGTCACTTCAAGCTACAAGGCTCACCTGAAAGGATATTGGTCTTAATTGGTCGGTTTTGATATATTCACTTAATCTAAATACTCAGGAATTATTTTTAATGGATTTTCCCCCCAAAAATCAAACCTGTTAAAATGTCGTTGTTCTACAATTACTTTGATTATGAAAGATCAAAGATAAAAATACCTTTTTTTTTTTTTTTTTTTTTAATATTCAGCTCCATACTTCAACTGCGCAGTGTTTATGTATCAGGAGCATTACTTGCTCAGTGAATTGAGGCATAGTGTTAACTGTTAGAACCTCAAGCCTATATATTGTAACAGAGTTGGCTAAATATTTTGCTATGAAGCTTTTAATAACTTTCTGGTTTGTGTTCTTAAGACCTTTGCTATTTTTTGAAATAAAATGTCTATCTACATATACCCATTGTAAGACCTATTTTTCCTCTATGATCTCAAATCTTCTATATCAAAGTATAATTAGGTATCATAACATTGTATATAACACTGTGCTAATATAATATATTGGCCTGCCACTAGATATTTGGCTCTGACTAATTGATTTTAGTGACATCTCTACACATGTGAAAGCTGAATATTTTTTTTCCCATGTTATGTGAGATGTATTAAAAGTGGTTTTAATATAAGGAAATTTTGTATATAAAAAAATCTTGTTATTTTTAGTTTGGCAGGTAAGCATTCTTAAAAAAATGAAAAACACTATTAAAAGACATGAATGATGTAAGCTTCTGTTTGCTTAATAGCAACATTAAATCATAGCTTTAAAGGACTGGTTTTGGGGATACCATCATTTGTAGGAATAGTGGTCCTTTTGTAAGTATACCAGGTAATGAACTTTTACCACAGATACCTGGTACTGAAAAATGTACTCACTTTGGAAAAATTTAGCTGCTTGGGAGACCAAGATAAAGCTACTGACTTAAAGCAAGAATTCAGAATAGCACCATACAAAGAAACTCCGTGGTTGATAGACCGACTACAAAATTATTCCTAAATTACCCTAAAATGAAATATTTAATTCAGATAATCACAGCACAGTTGAGGTCTGAAGGCACCTCTGGAGGCCATCTGGTCCAACCCCCCTGCTCAAGCAGGGCCACCTAGAGCGGTTGGCCAGGACCGTGTCCAGACGGTTTCTGAATAACCCCAAGGGCAGAGACCCCACAACCTCCCTGGACAACCTGTGCCAGTGCTTGGTCACCCAAACAGTAAAAGAGCGTTATCTGATGTTCAGAGGGCCCCTCCTGTGTTTCAGTTTGTGCGCACTGCCCCTTGTCCTGTCACCAGGAATGAGGCTCTTTTCAGAGCCTGGCTCCTTTTTTGCACCCTCCTGTAGGTATTTATGCACATTGATAACATTTCCCCCTGAGCCTTCTCTTCTCCGGGCTAAGCAGTCCCGGCTCTCAGCCTTTCCTCACAGGAGAGATGCACCAGTCCCTTCATCCTCTTTGTGGCCCTTCACTGGACTGGCTCCAGTATTTCCATGCCCCTCTTGCACTGAGGAGCCCAGACCTGGGCCCAGCACTCCCGCTGTGACGTCTCCAGTGCTGTGTAGAGGGGAAGGATCACCTCCTTCAAAGGGAATGTAGAAATTTGCATCCTTCCATATTCCTTTGGTAGTTCCAACTCAAGCTCAAGTCAGGAAAACTTGTAGACATTCATAAGGCCTGAACACTAATCTTCATGCAGAGAAGTCAGAAACTGCAGTAGGGCAAAGATGTCTGAACCATTTGCAACACATGGGGAGAGGTAGGAACCTTGCCATGGCCAAAATGGGAGCCACGTGCAGTTGTCAAGTGAGGAATTGGTGAAGACAAGAGCATGTATCTTTAGGGCATAAATATCATATTCAATCTGTCGTGGATCCAGTTCACAGACTTTTTTTTTTTTTTTTTTTTAATTTAATTTCCATTATCGATGCTCTGTGCAGCCCCTAAACGAGTTGTTCTGGCACAGCTGCAGGTGAAAAAAGCCAAAGACAGGAAATTTTAAAATAGTTTTGTCATCAGAGAAAATAATTGTATAGCTACACAACAAGCCTTTTCATAGAATGGAATAAGAAGCTAAACCTTACATCTAGCAAGAGAAAATGTTATGGGACTGCATCCTTTGTATGTAGTAACTCCAAACAATAATTTAGATCACACAAGCAATGAGTTTGCTCATTCCTCTGCCTAAGATTATTAAAAAAAAATACCTTTTCTACCGCTCAGGTAAGCATCTTAATTGCTACCTGTAGATTAGACTAATGTTAAGGTCTGTCCCTCCCTCCTGGGCAATGCTGTTTCATTCTGCTCTTTTATTGGGCTGGTTTCATCAGGCAATAAAAAGCATGACTGCAGAGACAGAGCAGAAATGCTGGGTTACATTGTCTCTTCCAGGATTGCTTCTATATTTTACATGAAACGGTGGCTGGATGAAATCCTCGAAAGAGGGGCTGGATTCTTGCCGGGTGGCTATTTGAACTGCTCCCGGCGGGAGCCCAGTTTACGGTCCCTGAGAGGCGAGGCACCGAGCGTGGGGCGGGAGGCCCGGGGGAGCGCTCGGGGGGCCGGGTGGCAGGGGCCTGGTGGGTGGGCGGCCACGGTGGCACCCGGCCCGGTGGCTGCTCTGCGGCCTGGGCTCCCTGCGGGAAGGGCGGGAAGGCGAGCTGGCACCACCAGTCTGGTTTTGAAAGAAAGTGAGGTGCAATGTCGTAACCGAGCGGAAATTTTGAGGCTGATGGTTTTTGGAGGTAGGCACCTATGTCTGTCCCACCTCATATATTGGACAGCTAAATAGCTTTTTTGCAACCATATCAGAGTGCCTTTCTCAGACCTCGAGCTGGTTTTACTTATCGTTTAAATACAGCATTACTATTCCTCTTGTTTCTGCTGAGCGAAATTTGGAAAATAGTATTAACCTACAGCAGCTGTTTTTCTCTCCAAAAAGGTTTTCATGCAGCTTGTAGAGTTCCTGGATTGCTTTAGTCTTACGCTATTAAGTTCTTCTTGTCTATGAGTCTTTTTCTGACCCTTTTTCAGGAACTCCTGCCTTCATCTTCCCAGTGCTATATATTTTTTTTTGTTGTTGTTAATTTTCCTACCAAATATGGCATTATGATGAGCAAATAGAAATCTTTTAGCAAGACTGTGTGCATGTATATATGAGAATGCAAATGGAGTAAATGGTCTATTATAATGCAGGAGTGCTTCAATTAGTATGATGTAGCTACTCAAGGGCAAGTTCATGCCCTTTGTTTAAACCTTTTCAGATTAAACTCAGGAGTAAATTAATTGCACTTATCACAGTTATCACATGTTTAACTTTCAGGTCACATTTATTAACTCTTTCATCAATGTTTTATGAATGGTGATCTTGAGTTGTTTTGTATTTTAGGACTCAGTACTTCAAATTAACCTCGCTGAAGTATTTTACGCATTCAGTAAAGCCCAGTTTTTAATAGTATTACTTGTCTGAATGACAGCAGAATTACAACCCTGAGTCTCATAAAGAATGAAAATCTGATAGTTACAATACTTTTATTTTAGAATAGTTTGTTGAAATTTAAATATAAGAACCCACTGTATTAAGCAAAAATTTGTATGTCTAATATGTTGTCTTGGTTCTAATTCAGGTAGATAATGCTTTAGAGAAGAGTAATTTGCAATCACTGCAAGTTGTCCATAGGAAGAATCATAAAAACATTGTTGTCCCTTATCAGTTTTTATTTCAGCTAGTGTAATTATTCAGGATGGCATTCTAATCCATTTCTGAATCCCATTAAGGCCTTCAGTTTACTAATATTGTTTTTACAAACCACTGCAGATTAATTATGAGTTGCCAATAAACATTCTTCTCTTATCAGTTGGAAATTCTTATCAGCACTTTATTTTCATTGCAACAGCCAACTGCTCTCCGACTAAAAAAAATGTACCAGGAATAATCTGATATCTATTGCAAATATATTGATATTTCTGGGTTTGTTTTTTTTCCTACTTTTAAAGAAATTCATCACTCCTTTTGCTCAGATTTATCCTGTGATTCACTGTACAACTCGTTTAGCACTTAGATCTTTGTGTTCTCAGAATAGGTTCCTACTTTGTACCTAATACTGTATTTGTTTTGGCTTCCAATTATATGTTTTTCACTTCCAATATTAAATTCCATGTCATTCCAGCCCAGTAAGACAATTCAGTTTTTCTTCTGATCTCTTTCATATTGATAATTTTTACCTACTCAGGCTATATGGTCAGTCAGCGCAGCCCAACAGGAGTAGGTCTGTGCTTGGTGCCAAGGACTCGTTGTCCATGCTGGTTGCATTTCAGAGTGTTTAATTGACTGTCATCCACCTGGGCCAGTTGGACAGAACATCCACTGGTGACTAGAATGTGTTTTTAAAATATACATATATATAATGCTTGCAGGACATCTCCCCATATATTTTCCTCTGAAAGGAGTCCAGTGTGTTCTATGAGATTGCTCTTTGACATGAACTGAAGTGTAATACATGAGGCCAACTTGGAGTTTTGTTTCAAAGGAACAGTACCAACCTAGAAAAAAACCTGCTTGTTTAGGCACACCCTTAGTGGCTTCTGAGAATTGCATTAACCCAAATGTACATTTTTCTTAAATTTTATAATAAATGCCATTTGGTAAGATTAGTTCCATGTCAGATCCTTGAAAAACTCCACTAATTACCTCCCTGAAGTCTTATACATCCCCTACCCTCCCAACTTGTCACCTCCTCATTTGATGGTTAATACTTGGCATATTTTTCCTCTTCTCCAGTTTAGCTAATAATTTTACATATGCTACTGGATGAAATGCTTTGCTGAAGTCAGAGCAGGTGAGTTCTACTGCATATTTTGTCTAGAAAACTATTATTTCAAAAATATATATCAGTTCAGTGTGGTATGATCTATCTTTGGTACATCTACTCAACATCTTATCCTGTTTCCCATTTTCATTCTTGTCTTTAGTGCCTTGAAATTTTTTTTTTCTGAAGACTTCCATACTACTAGGATCTTACTGACAGGTTTGTGAGTGGACAGATAACTCCTCCTTTCCTTCGTTTTCTGCCATTTCATAAATATAGTTTAAAAGATTACTACTTTTAATACACATTGCCTTCCCTCTTTCTGTCAACTCAGTAGATTTATTGGAATTCCTTGCTGCAATGTGTTTCATGAACCAGTTTTTTCAGGTTACTGTAAAGGAGATTGTGTGCGCCAATACAGTAAGAGTGTTCAGGGCTTGAATTTAGCTTTCTCACAGGTCAGGATTTACACAGCTTCCATTTTCACACTTTCTAGCTTCCATTTTCCACACTTTTCTATCTCTCATTTCCATACATTTTTTCCTACTAGTCACCTTACCTTTCCCTGTTTCCAATATAGTTAACCTAGCTGAAGAATGAGGCA